AAAATACTAAATGGGCTGTACATATTATAGGCCCACGTGAGATGAGCCCATAACCGTGGCGGGTGATGATTCCTTATATAGAGAGAGAGGTACTAGCCAAATCCACTCCATAACGGTAAGAAATTAAAGGATTTTCCTTCGAATTCCTTTTAATACGCTCTTCTTCTTCTCCCCTTTGTTCTAGATTCGGCGATTCGGTGTAGTACAGTGTGGTGTTTCGCTTGTTAATTGATGGGTGTGGGAGGAAAGTTCTGGGATTTGCTCAGACCTTATGCTCAACAACAAGGGTTTGATTATCTCAGAGATAAACGTGTCGCTGTCGATCTTTCCTTCTGGATCGTTCAGCATGAGACTGCCATTAAGGGTTTTGCCCTTAAACCTCATCTCAGGCTCACTTTCTTCCGCACAATCAATCTCTTCTCAAAGGTCCCATTTTTATGCTTTGAATTGTTGGTTCTCTTTCTTGTTATGGTTCGATTGGATTTCCGAAATTCGTCTACCACTAGTCTTTTTTCCCGGCTTCGTTTTCTCTTTCTGGGAATGTGGGTTCTTCTAATTTACGGGTTTGCTTGATTTTACTTCTTGGTTCCGCTGTCGAAATGATCATAATGCGGTTTAGGGTTTTTACAGTTTGGAGCGTACCCAGTTTTTGTGGTTGATGGTACACCATCACCGTTAAAATCTCAGGCGAGAATCTCCAGGTTTTTCCGATCTTCTGGAATTGATACTTCGAGTCTACCTACGATCAAAGAAGGCGTCTCGGTTGAGAGAAATAAGCAGTTTTGTGAATGGGTTAGGGAATGTGTGGTAAGTTGGGTTCCCTTTCAAATCTTGATGCTAGTTTTGTTTCACAATATTTCCTTTATGAACTTTTTTGCTTCTGTAGGAGCTACTCGAATTGCTCGGTATCCCGGTTTTGAAAGCAAAAGGTGAGGCTGAAGCGCTCTGTGCACAGTTAAACAGTGAAGGTTATGTGGATGCTTGCATTACTCCTGATAGTGATGCTTTCCTCTTTGGTGCTAAGTGTGTTATCAAAGGCATCAAGCCTAATTCAAGAGTAAGTCTTCTTCATTTGTAAATTAGTATTAGTCTGACTCAACAATGGCCTTTTTACCATCTACATTTCATTCGTGTGTAGGAGCCATTTGAGTGCTACTATATGTCAGATATTGAAGCTGGCCTCGGTCTGAAGCGGAAACACTTGATAGCCATGTCTCTATTGGTTGGAAATGACTTTGATTCAGGTGGTGTTCTTGGGATTGGTGTGGAAAAAGCACTTCACATTGTCCGTGTTTTCTCTGAAGACGAGATTCTCGAAAGGTATAATCCATAAGCTTATTGTCTCTAGCTTTTGGTGGCTGGTCATTTCTTGACCGTGTTGAGATATTTCGTGTAGACTACAGGACATCGGAAAAGGGTTAAAACCAGCAGTTAATGGTGGAATCAAATCAGTTGATGATGGAGAAGAATCCTGCTCCGAGATGAAAAGGCGAAGTCCTCACTGTTCTCGTTGTGGACACCCGGGTAGCAAGAGAACTCATTTTAAGTCCTCTTGTGAGCATTGCAGTTGTGATAGTGGTTGCATTACAAAACCAGTAGAGTTTAGATGTGAATGCTCCTTTTGCTACAAGGATCGAGAATTGAAGGAACAGAAGAAAACTGAGAATTGGTGGATCAAAGTCTGCGATAAGATTGCTCTAGGGCCAGAATTTCCCAACAGAAAGATTATTGAACTGTATCTATCTGATAGTTTCACAGGTAAGTAATGACTTAGTAACTTCATGTCCGCATTGTGTGATTCTTGTTCTGAAGCCTAATCTTTGTGTACTTCTGAAGCAGAAGATGGCTCTTCAATGTCTTGGGGAACTCCTGATACTGAAATGCTAGTGGATTTCCTGGTTTACAATCTGCATTGGGACCCATCTTATGTTCGAAAAATGTTGCTTCCGATGTTGTCGACCATTTACTTAAGAGAAAGGCCAATAAACAACACGGAAAAGCCATTGTTATATGACCAATACGAATTCCATTCAATCAAGTGCATAAAAACTAGATATGGGCATCAGTACTTTGTGATAAGATGGAGAAAACCCATACCTACTAGTGGTTTGAGTCACGGCGAGCCGGAAGAATCAATTGTTGTATGGGAAGAAGAAGAAGAGTCTGTTGATCCATTAGATGGGTTAAATGAACCACAAGTTCATAATGATAACGGTGACTGCTTCTTGCTAACAGATGAATGCATAGGACTTGTTCAGTCTGCTTTCCCTGCTGAGACAGAGCATTTCCTGCAAGAGAAGGTAACGAATAGAGCACTCTCTCTCACTATATGGTTTTTCTCCTTTTTGCTCCCTTTGCCTTGACACTTTTAATGGATTTTATTAAACTGTCAGAAAATGCGAGAGTCGAAAAAGAAGACTGTTTCTGAAGAAGCAGCATCACCACCAAGATCAACAACACCGGGCGTACAAAGAAGTATAAAAGATTTCTACCGCTCAACGAAAGCAGCATCAGCTCAAAGTACAGATCCAGGAGTGAGCTCAAGAGCTTCTTCTTCTACTGAAAAGAAGAGACAAGCAACTTCTTCTAGTAGTAGTATCTTTTCAAAGTCTGTAAGGCGTCGTCTTTTGTTTGGATAGTACATTACCAGTTTTTGGTCTGTTGTACAAAAGGAGCTATCTCTTAAAGGTTTCTTCAACTTGAGTATCTTGATTGTTTGTTAAACAGTTAAAATCAAAAAAGAAAATGGTGCTGCCCAGGTTCGAACTGGAGACCTTTTGCGTGTAAAGCAAACGTGATAACCACTACACTACAGCACCTCTTGAGTTAAAATACAGTAAAATTAAATTAGAATACAAGAAGATCGAAGAGTATCAAAACTGATGAATCTTACGAGAGCAAAGGTCTTATCGGGAACTATGAGTCTGGTAATAACATCAACCATCAACTGCAAATCTTTCTCGCCGACTCGACCGTTTCCGTCATGGATAAACGGAGACAATTCCCCGTCGCAAGGAGAAATCTCCGCCGATTTCTCACGACGGAGCTCAGCTATCTTCCTGACGAGAGTGTCATGCGCGAAGAACCCAGATGATTACCACTCAACCCTCAAATCCCTCAATTCTCGTGGCCGTTTTCCCAGAAAATCCCTTGGCCAGGTTCTCTCTTTCTCTGTTCCACTCGTAGACACATACATTCATCTCTTGTATACATTTGAGTTAATCCTCTGCTTTGTTGAGGCAAATGGTCGAACACCTTGTGCCCATGTTTATCTTCTCTGTTTCTACAATGATTATGGTAAGTAGAGTGATTGAAACCTGTTTGTGGCACAGCATTACATGTTGAATTCGGATATCAATGATCAACTAGCGTCTGTGGCTGATGTGAAAGAAGGAGATTTTGTGTTAGAGATTGGTCCTGGGACTGGTTCTTTGACCAATGTTCTTATCAATTTAGGTGCTACAGTTCTTGCCATCGAGAAGGTTTCCTTACTGTCCCTCGCCATCTTTGTTTGTTTATTTGCTTCAAATGTTGATTCTGATTTTGCTACTGGATCTTTAGGATCCTCATATGGTGGATTTGGTGAGAGAAAGATTCGCAGGTTGTGACAAGTTCAAGGTACCAAACAACTTGTGTGGTTTCTCTCTTATGCTTTGGGGAAGCTTTTGATCCAAATAGATAGTATCATTCTTCTTTTGGGGTTAAATTTCTCAATTTCTGATTAGATGATGGCTACTTACTCCTGTAGGTTTTGCAAGAGGATTTTGTCAAGTGTCACATCCGTTCTCACATGCACTCCATTTTCGAGAATAGAGTAGATCAAGATTTTGCTCTTGCAAAGGTGATAATGTTTTCTCCATGGGTCACTTTGCTCTAACTCAGCACCATGAACCACAAATATACAACGGAATTTGTATATTATTGCAGGTTGTTTCCAACTTGCCTTTCAATATAAGTACTGATGTTGTCAAACTTCTACTTCCTATGGGTGACATCTTCTCACAAGTTGTTCTCTTACTCCAGGTAATGCAGAAGTTGTTCTCCTCGTTTTCAAAGGATCTTCTCAAATGCTATATATCAAGTGTGACATTTTTTTTGGCTAAATCTTAGGATGAGGCAGCTTTGCGATTGGTTGAGCCAGCATTGCGAACATCTGAATACCGACCCATCAACATTTTGGTCAACTTCTATTCAGGTACTTGTTTCCATTATCGCCATTTGTAACTCTTCAATCATCTGTTTGCAAATATTGTGGTCGTTTTCTGAGAAGCTGTGCAACTTCCTTTGTTTCAAGAACCGGAATACAATTTCAGAGTTCCTAGGGAAAACTTCTTCCCTCAGCCCAAGGTATATTCACAGTTTTGATACTCCAAACTTTTGCGTCACAAGAAAATAAATCGCTACCAGTTACATATGACCCTGTTTTGTCTTGCAGGTTGACGCTGCTGTCGTAACATTTAAACTGAAGCATCCAAGAGACTATCCGGATGTTTCCTCCGCCAAAAGTTTTTTCGCTTTGGTAGCTAAAACTCTCTCTTCAGTCTGGTAGCTATCCCGATTTTTAACAAGAAAACATCTGAATCCAATCCCACAACAGGTGAATTCTGCATTCAATGGGAAGCGGAAAATGTTGAGAAAGTCCCTCCAGCACATATCATCATCTCCTGAGATCGAAAAAGCTCTTGGAGTTGCAGGTCTTCCAGTCACTGTGAGTAAATCTCATACCAACCACCACAAACTCATAAGAGGATACTCCTATCGAAAAATTGGCTTGTTTGGGAAGTTTTCTCTAGGTTTGCAAATTATTTAGTCAATTGATGATACTCGAAACCTACACTCATATCTTTTTTGTGTTGTTTTGTTATATTATCTCGCAGTCAAGGCCTGAAGAGCTTACCTTGGGTGATTTTGTCAAGTTGCATAATGTAATCGCCAGAGAATAGAACCAACGAGAAGGACCATATAATATAAGTATCCATGTTTTGTCAGCTTTTTCAAGTTTACATAAAGCCACCTGAAAACAAAACAAAAAGAATTGTAAATAGGTGAGTGAAATGAAATAAATCAAAGCATCATCTCCACTCGGCTATCTGACCTAACCTGTGATGTTTTTAGAACAAAAAAGTCATCACTGAAGGAGGCGCCAAGGGTTCTCTTCACAAAGAAGTTGACAAGTCCTGTAAAGTGATATCGAGGAGACTCTCCCGCAGCCTCAAAGGCATATGCATTACTGCAGTAGCCGCTACTACACTTGTTCTATCTGCAAGTGTTTTGTTTTGACAAGTAGAGGCAGGCAACTCATGATTATCGTGAAGGTTTCGTTTTTATAATCACAAAGTAGTTGGGATTTGGTAGTCTGATTGAAGAAGCCAGAGATAAACAAAACTGTAATCCCAAAATGATAGTCTTTACAATCACAGAAGCTTTCATACCTGATAATTAAAAGAAAATCAATCTACAATTTACAGTGAA